CCACAGCACACTCTATAGAAGAAAATAAAATACTGTTTTAATTATAAGTTGGAATCCAAACAATTACCCAGTGTGCTTAATTGTGCTAAATGGATGGTTTTACAGTTCAGCCCATCATGAATTGATCAAAAAAAATCACATATATATTGTTTTTAGAAACTTTGATTTCTGCTCTATGATCTCTACATAATGAACTCCAAGGTTCTACTGCTGTATGACCATGCTTGCAATTCTACATTATGAACTCTATGGCTCTACTGCTCTATGATCATGCATTTTTACCAAATGAACTCTAGATACCATTCTACGTCCGTGATCTCATCTATGACCCTACCATAGATAATATGAGGACGGCGCATATAATGAGTAGACGTGTAGAGCTCTATGAAAATGTCTGTGCCAAAAGGCACATCAGAAAACACGCCACAGTTGCATTTTGGAACACAGATTTATGGTCACTTTCTGTTGTCATACACCAAGATATCAACCACAAAAAATGCATGACTTTCTCCTGTTTGTGTTTCCTCTAAAACAGCAACATTTAATAATAACATCTCTGTGATGAGTCAAATTTCCACGACAGGTCTTACTTCAAAATAGATTTGGATTTGAGTGCTTCAACTTGCGTTGGTTTGTCTCTTCTGTTGCTGTCACCGTGACCAAGTTGACCACAACAATTGGTACCCCATGTGTATACGGCATGTTCTATTGTTACCATAGCAACATGGGAGTTTCCAACAGCAACCTTAAAAAGAAGAGTTGACATCATTTTTAATTTTTAATGGCATCACATACAGTAAGAGAGCCTTAGATCAAACACTTAAGGGCCCACAGATGCATTTTCCATGCATTGCTAAGGAAGTGAAATATTACTTTTGGCGAGTGATGACATCATATTGAGAGCCGACCAGAAATCCCACTCACAACCAGGAAAATTTAATACCAATCTCCTAATTGTTTCAATTATAGTTGCTTCAAAACTTTAAGAAGTACAAAAACAAGCCAAACAAATTAACAAAAAATGAAAAGCAGTAATTAAAAACATAGA